TTTTTTGTTATTTTTGGATATAAAACATATTTGTCGAACTTTAATGAACGTAGAACAAGTATTGCATTGCTTTATATTTTTTGAAACGACTCATAATAATTTTGAAGAGTAAAACATTGTTTTAGTTCAATATTTTTACTTCTATTTAAGGCATGTCATAAGGCATTTTTAGCGCAATTTTCGCATTTTAAGGGCATTTTTTGCACTTTTAAGGGCATTTTTTGCAGTTCATAAGGGCATTTTTTGCACTTTTTAAGGGCATTAATTGAAATTTTTTAGGTCATCAAAATCCGGGCTCTAGTTATAAACATTATAGTGTCATTGTTAAAAACAATATCAAAAATAAATTTGATGCGAAAATTTGAATAATATAAACTGAATCACCTAATTTATTATGAAGAATCAAAAATAGGGAGATTTCGCACTTTTAAGTTACTTTCACGAAAGCAAATGCGCATGCTCACTTTTATTTTAGATGCTACTTACCTTTACGCTATGTTGGCGTGATTAACGCTACAGAGACAAAGTTACAAAAACAAAGCTACAAGCGCGCTGTTTCAGTTGTTAAATGCTGTCTGTCTTCTGTTTAAGCCTACCTTCGAATTTTAAACATGGACATGAAATGCGAATTTGAAGAAATATATTAATGAACTTTAGTAGTGAATCGTGTGTTATTACAACAATTGGTTGAATGAAGAGATCGACCACGTCCCTTTTAAATGTCTGTTTTAATTTTAGTCACAGTTAAAATGATATTCGATCCCCTATGTTAGCGTTTTTAACTTACGGTTTATTGTTCTCTCTGTTCTGTTTATAAATCTCTTCTTTTTACTTACCTAAGTTTGCTATTTTTTCAACGATGCATGGGCATTTTACTAGAATTAACGGATGCTCAATTACTTAAAATCTTACGCACGGGAGCCAATTTAAATTTGCGAAATTTCCCTAATAACTTCTTCAAAAAGATTTTGTATAATTCAAGGATTCCGAACAAGTAAACCGTTTAGTTGCAAAACTGGGCATCTATAGAACAAAGAATTTTCTGAAAAAGATTATTCTCTTTAACGCTTAATAGCGACGAGTTTGGAGCCAAAACCTATTGATTTAAGGAGCTTTGAGATAGTGTGTTTTAAAACGTAATACAATGAGGCAAGGGCACAAGGGGATTATTCAATATTTTTTCTTTGGATATGGTCGGTTTTTCTTTGTATTTCGCTAATTTTTCAACAAATAAAAACTTACATTTAGTTACATTTAAAGTTAATGCTTGGAATTTTAAGACTGCATATGGGCAAAAAAGTATAGTTCAATTAAAATATGCTCACAAATTGTGTAAAATAAAAATTAAAATCATAGTTTAAATGAACTACGTTTAAAATTTTTATATGGCAATAATTTTAGAAAAGTGGACACCAAAAAAAATCACAACACACTTTAAAACTAACTTGTGAACCACACGCCTCATAATATTGGATAGTTTAGCTGACAGCTTTTGAAATTTTTAGAACTTTTATTGCTGGTTTTTGCAGAAGCTTATAAAAAAAATGGAACCAGAATATTTGGGTGCTTTAATTTGGTTCAGCATAACGTTATAATATGCAGAAATATAGTTAGATTATGCGTATTTTATAATAAAATGTTCAAACGATGTCAGACAGTAATATAGCTGTAAATGTATTTTAAAAAAAGGAAACCAAATTTCGAGAGCAAAAGTAAACCTCGTAAGCAAATTCAGTCTGGACTTCATGACGTACCATCTTTTTCCGTTTTTCTCCTTTCTTGATTTATTAGGAGACACTGATTTCATAAGCAAATAAATAAAACAAAATTTTATAAAAAAAAATTGGCAGACTCAGGCGCGGGGGAAAATTAGTTCGTAGCGCAAAACAAAAAACGGAACCACCCATGAATAACTTTTGATCAGATCATCCGATCTTCAGGTTCCAGGTTTCAATCATAATTAATTAACGAACACAATAATTTGAATTATAAAATCTGACACAAAAACGTACTTTCTCTGATTAAGCATGTAATCGGTTCGTGTAAAATCTAGCTTAATTCAATCTTTATAAAAAATCGCAAAAACACATAATAAAGATATTTATTAGGGAATAAAAAAGGCCTATAAAAGGATAAATATATAAAGCATATATATTAGGGAATATAGTTATCTCAAGCTATTAGGGAATATATAAAGCATATAAAGAAATAAATAAAATCGCTCCTGAGACACTTGCCGAATATTTTGGCGGTACTCCTAATGTAAAAAATTTATTAATGTTTCTTTTTTTTTAATTTTTTACAATTTTTTTTAAAATTAATTTTCTTCAAAATACTCTTAACCAATAATTTGTTTCGTATATAAGATCAAGATTTTTTTTTTAAAAATATTATAGTTAATACTAATTTCCTTAGTACTCCTATTCTATGTTACGTATTTTTCTTATATAAATTAAAAAATATTGCATCAAGAGTTTAATTACAGTTTGATAAACTGCACTTTTGTTTAGCTCAAAAAAATGTGTGATTTAAAGCAAACTAAAAGTACGCTTTGGTAATGATGTTATACAAAAGTTAATTTTGTATTTTAACCAAATAATATGACTGCTTTAAAATTATATGACCATGAAATTACTCATTGCAATATACAAGAGATACAAGCACATAACCATGTCCATGTTGAAGCTTCATAAACATTTAACAAATGTAAAAGAACCGTTAATATTTGTTAAACCTTTCTCAGAGAATCAGCCTTTGTTCAATAACAATGAAGCAGACAATCATTTATCACGAATTATTTTCCAACTCAAACATCTCAACACGACATTGTGTAAGTTCTTAAAATTCCAAAAAAGACAAGACAGACAGAATGGGTTAAAGCTCATTCTTTCACAGGCTTCGATCATCAAATTTATTGCTCGTGTTAAACAAATCCATTTATTTTTGAATGTAAAAATTAATTTCTGATTAACTAACGTGCTAAGTTAATTCTTCTACAGAAATGGATGGGGTTCGAATCTTGTTAAGAAAGGAAAATTATATCTGATTTACAAAATTGAAACGAGAGAAAAAAATCGGTTCCACGATTAACCTATATTTTTAGGGCTATTGTGACTAAAACTAATATCTTTTATGTGAATGTGACCCGATATTATACTTCACCAAAGATATTTCTTCAAGGAGAAAAAAAATTACTTTTTAAACTTTCGTAACTGAGGTGTTCGTAATGTGCAAGGCGTGGTACCATATGGCACACACGAATTGACTACAAGTACTTTCACTTGTTCTTTACTTTGTAACTGTATTATGTTTTTCTTCCTCCCCCCTCCGATTTCGTCGGCATGTTTGACCAGTGCTCATTTAAATGGACAATAGGATTTCTTATGGAGGCTTTTGTATGGGCATTTGTTCTACTCACAATGCGTGTTAATCTTGGTTTCGAATCAGCTTGACCTAGAATTCGAATCTCAAAGGTATCGCTTCCTATTCCAATATGTTGCCTTTCTCCGAGGTATAAATACTGTCTGCAGCTTTAGAATGGCGATATTAATTCGAAAGTGAAAGTTAGTAAGTGTGTTGTGATCCTTAAAGCTTTTTAACAAGGAAGCATTATGATTTTTAAGGTAAGATAACAATTTACTTCATATACGAATGGATACTTCTGGTCAATGAGAAAAATGAGAGATAGAAACGAAAACGGAGATTAAATCAACTAATTGAACAAAATTGTTTTAAAAGTTACTAACTTTTCAGGAATTGAATTTTTAGAAGACTTAAAAAACTAACCTTTATGAATATAGAAATTAAGATGAGACAAATAAAAAAGTTTATCTGGATTGCTTTAGATAGAATCAACTTGTTAAAAAAATTAAAATATTTTATTTAGAATAATCAGAGTCCTTTAAATGTTTAAATGATTTTAAATATATTTTTAAGGATGGGAGAAATTTTTTCTCTGATATTTTTTAAATACTTACTTTTTGATAAAATTGTTAATAGAAAGAATGGGACACAGTGAACTCATTTTAATTTTATAGACGAAGTGGAAAAAAGTCATTTAAAAGGAGAATGAACATGAATGTGTTGCATTCCTTCATGAACTCACAGAGATTTCTTTAAGGATAAAGTTTAAAAATTCTTAACAAAAAACTTTTTTTAATTATCAACTGTAATTTGAAAAGGCAGCATAATAAATTGTAAATGTTTCTTTATTCAAGTTTATATTTTATTTTTGTGTTCATTGGATGCTTGGAAAACAGAGTTAGTTTTCCCTTTCATTCCTTGATTATTTAATTATTCCAATGCTATTATATTGTCAAATTATTATATTCATTCTTACCAAAACGATAATTATTTTTAAATTTTAAGGAGAAAAACCTTTTCCAATCGAATATGTACTAGAAATGTTTTTTAAGAGTTCATGTGTTGAAAAAAAGGGGAGAATTGTTCACATTTTTTTGTATAAAATTAAATCAATAAATCCTCTGTACACTATATACACTATGGGTAAGAAAACATTTTCAAATATTTAATTTGTTGCATGTTATAAAATGCATAATATTTTGTACATTAACAGATCTTTTTTTTTTTTGCTTTCAAGAGGTTTTTTCTAGTTTTATTTATTTTTGCGATACAAAATATCAAAAAAATTGAAGATGAAGCAATTTGATTACGTTTCCATTTTGAAAACAATAAGCTTTCAAAAAAGTTAATTCTTCATCAATAAATAAAGTTTTAAGAGTTAATTATGTATTTACTTGCCTAAAAGGGTGTAAGTAAATAAATTTCAATGGAATGAATTCAGTAAATAAATGGATTTTACATGTGCATTTCATCTAGAAATTTTAAATTTGATTTTTTTTATAAAAAGTACTGTAATGTCTATAGAAAGTACTGTAAATAGTTGCTATGATTGCACTGAACTGTCAATGTGAAGAACTGGGTTCTGACCCTGCAGTGGCGACTTCAAGCCCACCCAGTTTCATATCGCTGGGTACCAGCTTGTACGAGAATTAAAAACGATCACATTGTTACAATTCTGCTGCTCGTCTCGAAATTTGCATTTACTTCCATTAAACCACTGAACTATTTTACTGTAAACATATTACTTTATTAATTTATGACTAAGCATATTTTTTAGGAAAAATTAGAAAATTATGTATACTAAAATTAAGCTCAAAAATTCGATGGAAAGTTGCGAAAATATTATTAGAGTAATTTACAATAAAAATATTTATCAGAAAATCTAGTTAAATTTTTGTTTAATTAACATGTAATTAAAAAAGCGATGAGCTCATTAGAGGAATCGAGGAACAAAAATATTAACTATATTATAAATAAACAATATAATTTTTAAAAAAAACTTTGAAATTAAAAATAAAATAAATCTTTTATTTTAAATTTTAAAAAATGAATTTAAGAATTGATAAATGTTATCAAAACTAAAAAATTGTATTACAAAAAATTTAAATTATTTTGATCAGAAAAGTTTGTCAAAACCTTAAATTTTTTTCACTGTTTTTAATTTCTTTGAAAATCACCCGTATTTTATTCAGTTTCTGAATATTTAAAAATAATCCCCTTCAGTATCTATTTTATTTTGAGTATGCTGAAAAATCATGGAATGTAGGTCATATTTTGATTTCACAAAAGTATAAAAATGAGTTGGAGAAAATGAGCTGTAAGAGTATCAAAATAAGTTTCAGGGAAAATATAATTGTCTAATTATGCCAAATTAATTTTTATGCTAATTTATATTTATGCCTATTTAATGCCCTAATTGTTACAATCTCCCATCTGAGACACTGCGTGGAAATTTAAATGAAGCAACTTAAAGCATATTGTGTTTTTAACGTTGAATATACACATTATTTAATCTCAAATTATATAAAGTTTATCCAAAGGAAATTTGATTTAGAAATCAAATTTTACAGCTATTATTAATAATGTATTTATCCATAGTATAGCTTTTTTAGTATGCTTTTGTTCTCAGACAATCGCTCACTGTTAGTTGTAAGTTGAAACTTTCAAAACTATCTTAAGATAAAGATAGAGATAGGGGATGAAAATATGAAATATAAAGCTTTTCAGTGCATCACTTACTGCCGTTAAAATCATTTATAATCATTAAAACGATATTTTTTAAATTTCAAAATTTACACCGCATATTTTATTCAATCCCCCTTAATGTTAAGGTGTGCATGTAATATAACCACTTTATTCATTAAATCAAATGCTTTAAATGTAATTTTAGGTTGCCCTTTTGGTTGCATTTGCTGTGGTGGCTTCAGCACAATACCACCATTACCCATCCCATGGATATGCCCACCATGATGAACATCACGATTATGTGAGTAATATTTTATTCTTTTTATGAAGGAGTTTTTAGCTATATTTCCTGAATTTAGTTATTTATAATTTTTTTTATTATATTACGTATAAACGAAAAAATATTTACACACGACTCTAAGAAATTTAAAATTATAAATTCCATTCTTTAGAATGCTTATGATTTATTTATTTATAAATTTGTTTTCTTAAAATAAAGGAAATTATTTTATTAAAATTTTACGAGTTAATACAGGTAAGTCTCAGGAGCACTGATATCTTTTAAATGGCTATATATTTTTTGATGGAAACATGAATAAAGATATTGGTATATTCCATAAATTTATTGAAACATGAAATTTATCTAGAAACTTTCAAAAGTTTATTTCTCTAAAATAAAGTATGCAAAATGGTTCCCATATGCTTGCAAATGTTTTCGGAAATTATTGATTACCTACTTCCGTAACATTCTCAATCACGTCAACAACAAAAATTACGCCAATATTTAAGTTGAATGCTCCTATGTTTCTTCTATAAAGAATCCATGACTATATCGACTAACATTAAAGCCTATCGCAGCCGCATGACTGAACTATATGCGTCTAATTTTATATATATAACTGTATGGAAAAATTCTACTAATTATTTCTAATACTAATGATAATAACCATATGTTTTCAGCCCCATGCACCCCAGCCATATGATTACGGTTATGATGTAAAGGATGATTACGGCAACAAACAATTCCGTAAAGAAACTGGGGATGGAAAAGGAGGTGTCAAGGGTAGTTATGGCTACGTCGATGCTCATGGAATCCACAGACAAGTTGATTACGTAGCTGATCATCATGGATTCAGAGCACAGGTCAAGACCAACGAGCCAGGAACTGCTAACCAAAACCCAGCTGCCGTAGGCGTCCACTCTGCAGCCCCTGCACATGTTCCTGCTCCAGTACACCCCGCACCTGCATACGCAGCCCCTGCACACTATGCCCCAGTGCATGCTGGACCTCACTATGCACCATCTCATCACATTCCCTACAGAGTACCCAAATACTCTTATTATTAGAATGTTTAAATACTACTATGGTAAGTTGCTTTATAAAATATTATTTTTCTTGTTTTTGCTGTATATGCTTAATATTACTTCCGTTGCAAGTAATTTGACTTAATAACAATGATAATAATCCCCTGTGATAATTTCTATGTACCAAACTTTTAACATCAAATAATAATGATATGTAATAAAGAGCATCCTAGTAATGTTGTCGGTATGAGTGCAGGCCATATTTTTATCATAATCTATATTTCGAGCTCCTTTCATGTATCTCTTCAAAGCATTATATGAATGTCAAGTAATTGAGGTCCCGATGAAATAACATGGTTGGTACCAGGGATGATACCTTCTTCTCGTAATTTTATGACATCAGCATAAAGCATTGCAGCTACAGTTCACAACTGACCTCGTCTAAAAGCAGGAATTTAATTAGAATTCCAGGATAAAATCAATAACTCGTAGATTTTAATTAGAGATGTTTGAGTAAGCTAAAAATTATTCGAATTACTTTCCTCTTCCTTTAATTCTTTTATACCAAACTTGAAATCATTAAATATTACATAACGAAAAGCGTCTTGGGTGTACATTTGGTTAAAAGTGCTGTTCATATCTCTTGTTGAAAGCTGTATATTATAAGTTCATTCCTGGAAATGTTTTGGCGTGTGAATAAAGTAAGTTGTGATATATAGCTACAAGTCTTAGGATGGCCATACACATAGAAGATAAGTTGTAAAAAAAAGGCAAACAGGTGACGAATTCCTATACTTTTGCATTAGGATGCGCAGAGGTAATGCGCGCATTCTAAAGCAAAAGTATGAAAATGTGCCTTTCGGTTGTCTATTACCGTTTGCCTTTAGAGTAGGTGTAATGTGTTAGATGGAGGTATTATCTCTGTTATCAACAATAAAATTTAACAGGGATAAAAACTACTTGACATTTATATTATGATTTTGAAAGATGGATCTATTACAACAATAGATTGTCATTACTTTGTAAAAAATATCAATTTGACTAAAAATTGTCTCGGCTTTTCTAATAAAATATTATTATGCATCAAAACTCTACTTAATATTAATTTTAAAAACAACTTTAATGGCATTTTTTTAAGGTTTCGCTGATAAATGCAAATGAGCTATAAAAAAAAGGACAAATGGATTAAAATAAATACGAAAAGAGTAAAAAAAGAAAGAAAACAGAAAATCAAAGTCAAATTGTGTCATTACTAATGATCAATGTTAAAATTTAACATTAACCCTAGATTCTGCATAAAGTTGATCTTGCCATGGGATTCGTACAGTTTCACATGTTGGTATGCTGAGTCTATAGGTATCCCATTGTGAGCTGAACATTTAGTTCACAGTGCTTAACTTGGGAGGACTAATCATTCCGTTTTTATTAGTAACTGAGTTTTCTTCCTTATCTACCCTTCTCAAATAATTATCAAATAATCATAAGCATTCTGCTTATCATAGAATGGTCCCTCGCGTCTTTTCGCTTGTAATTACACACAGAAATTATATGCTCCTTACAAAAAAAAAAAAAAAAAAAAAAAAAAAAAAAAAAAAAAAAAAAAAAAAAANAAAAAAAAAAAAAAAAAAAAACTATTGAGCAAAATGCTACTTCTAATTCACGATTCCTTCTTTTGAAGAAGTAATTTTTATTTTAAATTTGATTTTTCTATTAAACGATTACTTAATATTTGAACTCGTAGTTCATGATTCAAACTCTGATATTTCATACGTTTCCAGCGTTGGTCACTAATAAGTGAAATAGCAAAGGTCTTTGATTTTTATACACAGTTGCGTCGGCTTTTTTGCACAGTAAGTGGTTTTTTTGTTAGATAGCAAAGAAGTTCTTTTATTTATTACGGAAAAGCTTGAATGTAAATGGGAACGAAAAATAATGCACAAAGCTCATCCATAACATGAAATAAATTTATTTGTAGAAAAATATAAACAAAAATTGCAATATATATATATATATATATATCCATATTTGCATTAAAAAATATCAATTGAACCGATATTATTTATTTACTAATTATCAAAGAAATAAATATCATATTTTATTAAATTTTATAGCAAAAGGAATGTTAAAAAGCATGAAATAATAAAATAATAGAAAATGTTAGTCTATAACTCAAAGTGTTATATATCCGATGAAAACTATTATGTATTAGTGTCTTTTTTGAATTCTATGTAGTTATTCATAATTTTTTTTATTTTATATTTTAATGAAAATGTCGGTTTTCGTTGCAACAAAATGAATCTTTTTTTCAAAGATATCTAATTACGGTGAGTTTCATTCCAATAAATCTAAGATAGTTTCTTATGATCAAGAGCACTAAGTTAGCTAAAGATATCGAATATCTGGAAGCTTAGTTCTTTAGGTTTTATGATAGTTCCTAATGATATAGAGCATTAATGTTAGCTAAGACATCTATTAACAGGGAGTTGAGTTTCAGAGGATCCGGAAAAGTTTTTCTATGATCTAGAGCACTGATGTTAGCTAAAGATATCTAATAACAGGGAGTTTAGCTCCATAGGATCCAGGACAATTCTTTATGATCTAGAGCATTAATATTAGATAAAGATACCTAATAACAGGGAGTTTAGTTTCTTAGGATCTAGAATAGTTCCTTATAATATAGAGCACAAATGTTTGCAAGAAAATATTTAATACAGAGTGTTTAATTCCATAAGATTTAGAGCAGTTCCTTAAATCTAGAACACTATAGTGAGCTCGTATTAAAAACAAAGAAGAAGAAAAAGTTGGCACATCAAACAAATTATATTTTTCAATTAAAATATGCATTTAAAATTTTATAACAAGTATTTTGTTTATCGGACGTCCATTTTGGCAACATGGTTTAGTTTCTGCCTCAACTACTACTACTCATAATAAAAATAGGTAAAACATACAACACAACATGAACAAAACATACGTATCACACAATCAACCACGGACTGGCTCACAATTGCAGCCAACGTGACTGATCACCACGCACGCCACACCACTGACCCTGCTCCCGGTCCCCGGGGACAGACAGTGAGTCCGGAGCTTTTCAGCTACCCGTGATGGCCATTTATGTTAAATGTAAAAAAAAAAAAAAAATAAATAAATAAAAATAAATAAATAAATAAATAAAATAAAAATACCTGTGACGTGACTAGCTATTTTATATTGTACTGTTATTGTCGATGTCCATCCTTTGAGTCTGTAATGTAACGCTGCTAGTTTATCTATGTAAAATTAAATTGTCGCTACTAGGCCGGGATAGCCTGGTCAGTGGGGTGCCGGGCCCATGTCCAAGAGTTCGTGGGTTCGGTCCCTGCTGGTCGAAGACTCCCCGTGTAGTAAATGGTGACTGATGCACGTTAAATCTGTCGAGTCTCAAAGTCCTCCATGTTCCCACA